TAACTTGTTTTATTTGACCATAATATTGATATCAAATGCTTAATTGTTGTACCACAATGATATAATTTTTTTTTATGAAATCACTGCACTAGTTTGTTATAATTATTAATACAAAGATTTACACTTAGAAAAAATCCTTCGATCCGGCAGGATTCGAACCGACGTCTTCTAGCAAACCGTGTCAGACGCTATGCCAACTAAGCCACGGAACGAACCAGCAGACCTCACAAATTTTTATATGTGCTTTGTATCTAGTTTTTAAGGACTTGTTAGCCGTAGCGCATCTATCAATCTATGAAAAAGAAAAAAGGCCTCATTTTCTTGAAAACGCTCTGTTGTAAAAATTACTCTTTGGCACTTAAGGTTCTTTACCGCTCACCTATAATAAAATAAAAAAAATGAATTACAAAATAAAAAAGACCTCAGAAAAATGTACTACCATAAATAGTTAGAATTGATACCGATAAATTCAGTTTCAGTTGGAAAGGTTTATTCGTTTACGTAAACTTTGAGATTGGCTTTAACAAGGCAGGGCGAGAGCGGTGATTTCTACTCTTAAAATCCAATTTAAATGCATTCCTCTGCGCCGCAGGAGGCCCCGCCGATACGCTCCAGGGGCCAATTAACTTATTCATCCCTAACATTTCATTGCTCAACTTTGATACTACTTTTGCGCTTTTACTTTCGAAGCCCCTTTTTGTGTCTGAAGTTGACTATATTTAGAGCCTAACAAGTATTATCTGGTACACATAACAATTAGAAAATTTGTCTACTTAAAACAATAGCAGCTAGATCTGTTAACAACCGGGTAGTAAAGTGCAGAGTTAAATAAATATACTCAAATACTTTGATGAACTTCTACATTGTCTAATATACGTAAACTTCGTCTTATAAGTCACGAGTAAGTTGCCTTTTCTCAACGAAGTTTCCAGAAAGCCATTTAAAATGCAATTTAAGAACCCTAATAGAAACGTTCGCACTAAGAATTGTTGCAAAGTGTAATGGGTTCAGGTGAAATTAACGCAGAAAAATAGGAAAAGTTAGAATGAGTTTCCCGCCAAGGGTTTTTTCCAACGGCAAGTAGCGCTGTGATTGTAAACTCCTGAAATTATAATACCATTTCCAAACTCCACTTCATCGGGAAGTTTTAAAACGGTCCGTAATTTTACTTGCAGGTAATACAGTATTCATAGGTAAATTTAAAATTTTAATGTTACCTAAGTATTTCTACTGAAAATTTGTGCGATTCATTTGCTATTTTCTTATACAACATTTCAATTTTGTTAACCAAAAACTCAACATTTCTGTTTTACAATATTTTTTTATAAATTATTTACTCGAGGTGTAAATACACAAAACATTAGCAAAATAAACCAACTCTCTCGCTCGATCGTTCGGACCCTATTTATTTGTAAAGGTTGCGATGACTCAAGCAGATTTGCAAGATATCTGTTCGCCTTCTGTGGATTACTTTGCAAGTCTTTTATACGAGAGAGGGCCAGTATCATCACTACTTAAGGATATTAAAATCCCTTCTATTTGTGTAAGGAGCTTGTTTTCTCGCTGACGCGGCGAGCATTTATCAAATAATCCAGATTAACCCAAAGGACTTGCATACGAAGCTATATCTTTTTGTGTTATTGGTACTCGTAACGCAATTTTGTTTACTTGAATAACAAATGTTCAAATGTGTGTATGTAAACACTATTGTACCACAAAGTAAATTACAAATTTTAAGAAATAATATAACTGTGCAAAGGCGAGCTTATCCCATAAAGGGATTTCTTCCAACTAACTTTTAATTACTTTACATATGAACAAGAAATTGGTGCCTTTTTACGATTGAGTGCTGAAGGGTTACTTTTAGAAAGTGTATTTAAAACGAGACCAGACGCACCACCACCATAGTACCCTTACGCTAGGGGGTATCCCCCTAGCGCCGGACAGCACATAGTACCGGACAGATCATGTCCAAACATGAAATAATGCTCTAATTTGCTCTCGTTTATAAAAAGACGTTAAACTTAACGGCAAGAAACCACCTGCGGCGTGGGAGACCTTAGTCTTGCTTGATACGATTTACAAATGACAATTTGCACATTTCGCGCGTAAATCAGTTGCATCGACTAATATTGGAAACATCATAAATTACTATTTCGAGAGAATACATAGCGTGTATTGCTTTTTCTTTAATAATTGGTAAGTACATTTTACATTCAAATACTTTTGTGGCAAATATATTAATAAACGTTATTGTAATCGAAATTTTACTTAAGGTATGGTGTGTCCCTACGTTCGGACAATATCTGATTCCCTAGTATCGGACAAGTGTATTTATACCCGTACAAGTTCCCTAGTAGGGAGACAATCTTATTTTGACAAAATGTTCTATGCTATATAATTTGCTCCACTGCCAGATGCTGCTACAGAGAACAAACAAGGAAACATCGAGCTGAAAAAAGTGAAATTTTGACTGATTCGCCATACAAACGTTTAGAAGAAAAATAAAATTAAAAATAAATAAATAAAAGAAGAAGGTAATTGCAAAATTAAAAAGACGAAGGACATATGAAAAACAAAAATAAAACCGGTTGAAAAACAGCTAGAGAAGTACTACTGCGTTGTTTGTTGCGAAGACTACGAAGAAGACTGGATTCAGTGTGGGTTATGTAAAGAATGGGCACATGAAACCTGCGCGGATATCCCAGTGCCCAGATCTCTATATTTGTAATCGTTGTAATTTTTTGTAAGTTATCTTTAAATTGTTTCCACTAAATTCAATTATTGTTTTCGTTGATTTATCGAAAGTCTATAACGGCCGTGTTTCTTAAAATTATATACACATGTTAGATTATATTATTTTAAATAATGAGTACATCATGTTTCAGTATATTTGCTGTATTAAATGAAAGATTATTGACTAAGTTTTTATTTCAGAAATCTCGATGTTAACGGTACTGTCCGGTATTAGGGGTTTGAATTAATACTTATCCGGTACTAAGTGCCAGTTTTCAATGAACCAAAACCAAGACTAATGATTACTTTCTTTTTCTAGTTGTTAAAATTGTTCGATAGTTATTTATGTTGATTTATTTGAATGTCTAATATGATTGTGTATCTCAAAATGTTACGTGTCCTAATAAAACATGGTCTGAATTTGTTTAATTTCTGCAAAACCTTAAGTGTCCGGTACTCGGGGGACTCCCCTACATATAATTAGCATCAACTTCTTTCTACACTGTTTTTAATTTAATACTTAATTGAGTCCAGTACCTACCTCTATTTTGATAACTTCACTGGTCCGATGGTTTGCGGAGATTCTGGGTTCGATTCTTGGTAAGACCAATTTCGAAAGTGAATTTTTCAACATATTCCTGGTGTGGGCATTCTGGGTAGTGCCTCGGAGTGAATTCGGTTGCTTTAATACTTATGGTGCAGGGCATAGGTATTCCCTGGTTTGAGACCAGATATCTTATGTGGTTTTCTGGTACATTATGATTGTTTAAATGAATATTGTTATTTGCAGGTATTACGTAGGGCGTACTATAAGTTTCCGGAACTGGCCACATACATAAACAATATTTAAAAAGTATTTACAACATTTGAAAATGGAACTCTTTGGCTGTAGAATACAGTTTGTTTCATCTGACTGTCACTTGTTTTTACATTGTGGCGTCATCATGGATTTAACTCGTGAAAATTTTCGTAGTATGATTTTCTACGACTTTAAGTGTAATTTAACAGCTCAGCGGAGCTTCCCTCGGCTTCATACTGCTTTTGGCGATGAAGCACTATGCAAGACGACTATTTATAGCTAGGTTTGCAGAATTCATCTCATGTCAGGCAAAAATGTTTTCAAAATTGGTTTATTCGTATGAAAAAGTGCATTAACGCTAACGGAGAATAATTTGAGAAACAATAGATTCATTTCTGACCATTTTTAGTATTTTTTCTTATTCATTCCGGAATCTTACAGTGCGCCACACGTCCTTATACATTCAAAATCCATTGACTAACATTCTTACACTAACATACTAATAGTACATTTAAAATATGTTATTTATGTTAAAAAAATATTAATTTTTTTAATGAAACGTTGTGACAGACATAACGTTAATATGAGGAATAAAAATAAACTAGCTGTTCTTGATAGTCGTCTTCATAAAGTCTCAAATTCATTTAAGGGGCAATGCTAGATGTTTCTATAATAAGCTTCCGAGTGATATTCAAAATTTGCCATTTACGAGATTTGAGACTATTGTGAAACAAAAACTATATACTAAAGGTTATTTATTATATAACTTCTGCGTACTGGTGTACTGTGCGTACTGTGGGTGACAAAAATCCGTGGTAGTGACCCGTTTAGCTTTTTCAGATATTATCGATCTAAGATGTTTAAATTAAATATTGTAATATTAAATGTATTCAAATGTATATTTGCAAAGAGTAACCCCTAGAGTTTTCTGCTCATTCTTCTCAGGGGAATCTGCCTTACGAATGAGCATTACTGAAATGAACGGAAATGGACCGACCAAGTGAAAGATTCATCGTCCTCCAAATTTTGCACAGTCGTAAGGGACTGGCTATCCAGCGCGACTTCTGAAGCGACGCATGACTTTTGAAGCGGGTGATCTGCTTCTATAAGCCGATCACCCGCCTTAGAAGTAGTAGCTTACTTAGTCTTAAAAAAATCAAGAGTCACACGTAAAAATTATGTATTTTTTTTAGTAACGTCTCTCTCTCGTTCTCTCATATCTGAGGATCGTGGTCAGGTTTGTCCGTGCTTCTGAAGCCGGTGATCGGCTTCTATAAATTGAATATTTTTGGTACAAACTTATGATTTTCTTTTATACCTTTAGCAAGGTTTCGATTAGTTTTATCTCTCCTGATCTGCACAGTAATATTTGTATAATTACGTTTCGGTTGTTATCAATGACCTTATTCGCTTAAAGTTAAGTAAAACACAGACAATTATTGGGTTATCGACAGACGGTTACATTCAGTCAGAGTAAATCTTCACTTAGGAATACACCGATTACGATTTTAAACTTTATATTGGTAAGTATTTCTGCTTGGGGTAGTAAGTTTTATTTAAATTTCATGGAAATAAAGTATTTACAAAATGAAGTGAATTTATAGTACATGACAACTATAAGTGATTAAGATAGCAATTTATGATACAAAATTATCGATTTGTTTTTCTGTAACTAAACTAATTTATAATTTTCGTATTAACTTTATAGAATACCACGATGTTATCCAATCATGATATTTTGTGAAATTACTTCACTAGTTTGTTATAATTATTAACACAAAGATCGAACATTTAAGAAAAATGTCTTCGGTCGATTTGGATTCAAATCAGCGTCTTCAGGGGTTTGTTTCTTGGTAAAAAAGTCGTTAAAAACCAAAAAACACAGGTCTGCCACAAGCACATATAAAAATTCGTAAGGTCTGTTGATTCGTTCCGTGGTGAGTCAGGCATTGTATGCTGTAGGCGCTGCTTCAAATCCAGCCGGATCGAAGGAATTTTTCTTAAGTATTCTATATTTGCATTAATAATAAGAGTAACAAGTTTTGGTTCTGATTTAAAATGTGTATAGAGCAAGCCATGCTTGCCTTGAGTGATAATATTTAATTATCTTCGAAAATATGCTTTTTTATCATTAAATATAATCCCAGACTCATCTTAACAATGAAGAAGGTTATATTATTGGTGCTGGTGTCCGTCGCTGTATTGGCGTACACCGAAGCTAGACCGACGTGTCCAAGCAAGTCCACGTGTTTGTCTAGGCCCCCCTGTTCATCCAGGTAAATACAATTTTAGTAGTCATTATTATATCCCAGTTCTATAACTCAGAAATTTAACTGGAGAGCCATGTCGATCTTATAATATCAATATCCGGAGAAAAAGAAATTGTTCAATTTACGATACAAATTTTATTAGAACCTACATTAGGGTAAGTTGTTTAGTATTACAGTCACTCCGTGGTTCAGGCACCTGGTTACGGTTACCTATCAGTAGTCCGGAATGACATTTTCCAGAAATAACGTTTGGTCGAATTTTCATAATATCGAAAGTAATTTTGAGAGGAAAATGTTTTTTCTTTTAAACCTAACTTAACCTAACCTAACCGAACCTAATCGTGTCTTTGCGATAAACATTCAACATATCCTGAAAGAACAACTGTTTCGTTATAATTCGGTTTTCGGTGTAATGAAAATTCGAACAAACGTTATTTCGGACAAAAAAATTTGAGAGTTTGTGATAGGTTACCCTAACCGGGGGTAACCTTTTGAGTTGGATGTTACAAAATCATAAAATTTGAACATGCAGAAAAGGCAATCACCACTCCAAATGTGACGGTAACGGTATAGATGACAGCGATAGCAGTGACGACGATGATGTAAGTGCACATTATTAATTTTGATTACAATCTACGATGCAAAAAAGTCCTTAGATTAAAATTTAATCCACAAAGGTACAAAACAATGCATGTATACTGATACGAATTAATAATTAATTTTGTCTTCAGCATAATATTCACACTACATTAGGATGTTAGCTTTTCATAGGTTGGGTGAACCTCTATTTTTCATACACAAAATACCACAGTGTAAAAAGTCCGTCGTCACAAAGTCTATGCGTAGTTACTACCTACGCATTTTGTTTAAATATAATTATGACATAATTATTTGAACACAACCAGACAAGGTTAGGTTAGTTCGTAAGAGCATGTATAAGCAAATATAGATAAATATTTAGAGCGCTGACCAAGGGTGAAGGATGTAGGTTTGTTTTGATATAAAGGCTGTCTAGATAAATGTGAGTATGAAGTAAACAACCGCTTTAATATGATTATTTAGCTAGATTAGGAGAACTTTTTTTGTCTCGCGAATTTTGCTCTGCATATGTATGAGTATTTATTTATTTGGGCACATCAACAGGTAGTACATTATTACATTCAACAAATTGAATATTGCATTTACGGTCATGGTCTGATGTAATGACCCATTACAGATATGCACAGCATTGACATGAGCAATAATACTATTTACTTAACACTAACATAGGTTATTAACATAGAAAGATATTTAAAAAAACAATTAAATTTAATTAGCCAGTTTACGCACAGTGCTAGTACCTCTAAGACTCAGTATTAACAAGACCCTCCATGAAGTAGACCAACAACTTGCGTTTGAGCCGCAGTTGCGAGTCATGGAAAATGTCAACATTGACAGAAGTGGTGAGGAAGTTGTATTCCAATAGTATTTTGTTAATTGGCGAGTGCCGACCCGGGTTAGTTCTACACGGGGGAATACAAAAAAATCCTTCGTAAGTACCTATTGTCTAGGATAACTACAAGCGACTGAGAATTGGAGAGATTCCACCAGCTCATTATATTATCTGTGACATTTCGTTGATCAATAGTGTTGCTCTTCGTATCCCGCGTCCTGAATCCACTTTTATTATCAAATCATGCAAATATGCGTGTGTAAACGAATCCGCGAGATCGAGAAAGAAAAAGTTTCTTAACTATTATAAATTAAATTTTTTAGAGCAAGAAGAAAAAATGCGACGATTCGTCATCTTCCTCCTCTTCTTCATCATCTTCTTCATCATCATCTTCGGAAGAAGATAACAAATGTGGAAAAGTAAGTCAACTAGATAGTAAGTGGTGAAATCACAGGTAAATGGGACTTGTCAATTCATGTCTCAGCGTGACGGGCGCATTGGCAGTTCCCGTCAGAACTTTAACTGGCACTGCAACTCAACTGTCTTGGATAGGCGTGTCACTTACCATCGGCGCAGGAATTGTTCATCCCGTCGTTTGATATCATAAAAAAGTAGATATCTATCTGGATTAAAATTGACAGTTATGGTCAAAAGCTACGTTGCTTTTTCATTGTGAATGTCCGTATTTTTTATCTATATGAACCAACTTTCATATATGTATACCTCAAATTATATATTCGTTTGCTTGTTTGTCTGATACAGGAGGTGTAAGTCGGAATTCCCTAAATAATACTATTATTAATTATTACCTACTATTTATACAACGTGTAATAAAATACGCGATTAACAACTTCCGCAAAAAATACTCCGCAATTCATTTCGCAAATTTTTAGTAATGTAAGTCGCGATAAATATATTTAGTTCACTATATGAATGTTCGATTTATATATAAGGTTGTTTTAAAAATACTACCTCGCAGGACTATATTACTAACATCATAAACAACAACTTTTTTTGTTTATGACGTATTTTGAAAACATGCCTATGAGTATATGAGAACTTATATTTTGTAGAAGGTATAGGTACACAAAAAAAGTTTTGGCAAAAGTTTGCTTTGAAATACTACAACATTTCCTTGTTCTAGGTAGGGTAGACGTGGATAATTCGTTAAGTAGCAGCGAATTTAATTACAAAAATTGTTACGTTTATAATGAACTGCAGAACACTTCAATTTGTTTGGAGAATTTTCCGGATTTCTTGAAGCGAGTCTCGATTGCGGCTCTAATGAGCAATAATGCTGAAACTGTTCTCTAACTTTATACCGCAATATTTTTTTCATTTCCACTTTAACAAATGTTAAGGATGAAAATGTGGAAATACTATTGGTGGCTTGAGATACTTGTCTGTTTTCAAAAGGTGTTTGTTTTTCCGTAATTTTTCCTGATTTTATGGTTAGTTTAATTTCCTTATTACCGGTTTTTAAGGTGCGTGTTGAAAAGTTTTATGAATATAATAAAACAATTTCTGTATCGTCCCTGCAAAGATGCTTGTCCTCAATGTTAATCTAGGACACCACGCGCAGCTGCGAATTTAAAGTCTAAGGAGGGTTTAGCCACTGTAAGTGACGGGACGAACATAGTTCAATACACAGAGACATAAATTGACAAATCCCATCCCGACGTACTATTTTTTTTAAATGTCTAGTGGTGGGACGAACAGATCGTGTGCCTGATGGTAAGCTAAAAGCTAAATCGCAAATCCCATGTGCCTGTAATTTCACCAGCACCCTTACCCTTCAAAACGGAAGACAGTAATGCTGACATTACTGCTTGGCGGCAGAAGTAGGTAAGGTGGCAGTACCTACTACTCTGGACGAACTCTTTCACAAGGAGCTCTACTGCTGGTGAACCACCTATTGAAAAGATCTAGATTTTCTCTTCCTTTGCATCGCCTACGATGATTATATCCCTAGATGAAGTATTAAGATGATTAGTAGGTTCCTGCGACACTAAAACATACGATATATTTACTGATTAAAATCCCTACATTTTAACAAAAGGATTTGTTATGCCGACGGTTCAGAAATTAGAATGTTTGATTATTTCATTAAATATCCTTATTATAATTATTAATACAAATACCAAACACAAAGAAAGATTCTTTTGATCTGACAGGAAACGAACCTGCGTCTGTGCCATACCAGGGCCACGGCTTTACCAACTGAGCTACACAGATCGAATCAGCAAACCTAAATGAGTTTTATGCGTTTGTTACAGATTTTAACGGTTTTTTGCTATAGCGCCATCTAGAAAATTTTCTTCACTCATTAAAAATTATCCTAATTATTTCATCACCAGGGCAAGGACGATTCGTCATCTTCGTCATCGTCCTCGTCATCATCATCGTCGTCATCATCAGAAGAAAATGACGATAACGGCAAATGCGGCAATGACAACGATTCCAATGATAACCACGTTAGTACTTAGTCTTTTGCTAATAAATTTGTCAATTTATTCCATCTTAATACAAATGTTACACTGATATTTCTAATTACGGATCGGCACTGTTGTTTTGCTTGTTGACCTCGGTGACTCAACGATTTGCACTTTTTCTTCATTGTGTGTTATTCCCGGTAAAACCAATTTGGGAAATGAAATTTTTCTAAATTGGGTTTAGTCTGGGTTTCGCTGCTCAGGCGACGTACTCACAGTGCAGGTAATTCCCTAGTTTGAGACCAGGGCTCCAAGTCTCCTAATTTTTTTGATACCACTTTTCCATTGAGACTCCACTGAAACTATATTGCAATTTGTGGTAATATTTGTTACGATGCTGAAATATAGTCGAAATGCCAGTTGAGTCTAAATAGTGTCAATGGAACGGCAGATTGTCGTTGCCTTACTAAAACTAACATGAAAATTAATACCTTAATAATTTATCGCGTTTAATTAGCAGTTAAAAGTCTCTAAATTACATGTGTTTTTATGTGAATTAATTAACAGAATAAGGCATCGACATACCATCGCGTCGCCATTGAAGAACAGAATACAAAAAAAAAATGCACTGTCAGTTGAATAGTATCTCGATGGCTAGCCACTACTCTTAACTTTTAGCAGAATACCGAACGAATAAAATCCTGCCATGACACTCTATCTATACACTGACATGATTTAAATTATCACATTTGGGGCCAGGTAATTGGTCGGTTGAGGCATTATTATTATTACTTGAACTTCAATGTGCCATTCCATCCTTACCAAAAATGAAACGAAATTTAGATACTCGAAGATACAAATACTATCAAAAAGGCCTTATTAACTTGAAATCTTATTCGACTGAAATTTGAATAGTATCCTTTATTTTTCTAACGAAAATGTTCAAATATTTTCAGCACAAGAAATCCAGGCAATTCAGAGGCAGACGATGCAACAACAAGTAGATGTAAGGACTCACAAGTAACATTTTAATAGCTTTGAAATACTTCGACTTTGTTATAGCTGCGATTTTGTTACGTAATTATAGATAGATTTTATGTGGAATAAAGGAAAATATTTAAGCCACGACTTAAGCTTATAATTTATAATATTCCATTTATTCATTTTGTAACGTAAAACAATCAAATGAACCAACTGAATACATTAGTGATTTTATCATTAATAATGATGATCATTTGTTAATTTGATTAAGTTTGTTGATTCCACGGCCATATTAATTAATTTTACGTTTCCATATCATGATATCATCTTATTTTCACCACAGAAAATCCAATTAAAGCGTGTTAAAATTTTGTTCTATCTCAAAATTTCGATAATTTGTCTGTTATATTTCTTGAAGGCACCCTGAAAACTATTTAACAGTGAATATCTCGACAAGAGCGTTTAACATACTACATGGGACTCATATATAGTATTAATAAAGACCTATCGTATTCAACGGCGTTCTACTCGATGCCTTCCCCACTCGAGACTCAATTATTTCGTTGCAGTTTCTTGATCATCAAATATGTCTGTGATCGTCAATATACTTTATACTAAATTTCGTGAAAATAGGCACAGTGTTCTCATGCTTAGCGTTATTCAAAAAGGTATATAGTAGTCAGATAGTCAGGTAGGTATGTAAAGTCAAAGGGAATTTTCAAATACATTATAGTCAGTAACTAGTATTTATCTATGCTTCACTGGGAAACAATGGAGATCTATGCTCGGCGGGTATATTGCGAGTTGAGACACTGTAGTATCTACCTGCAATCTGATTTCAGGTTTTGGTTTTTGTAGTGAAAAACAATTTATAATGAATTTATGTCTGTAAGAGCGCGGCATTTTAATCACAACATGCCTCTCTCTGAAAGCAATAAATAAGTATTTGACATTTTTCACTCAATAACAGCGGATCAAAGGCTATTTGTGTATTCTCGACGATTTTTTCCTCATTTTCATAGTTCGGATTATAATTAATTTTAAAACACAGTGGCTGTAGCTATTGGTCAGCAGACTGTATAAATTCAGGTAACTTCAGAACAAGTGGATTAACTGAACCGAGTCTGTATTGCGGGAATCCAGTAGGAATTTTTCAATGACAGTCAAGTTTTATTTTCTATTTTGAAACAAAATGAAAACTTTATTCGTAGTCTGAACTTTTTCTGATTAAAATTTAGCTAGTTTAAGTGACAAATTTCTTTTATTAACCTACTTCAAAAAGGAGAAGGTTCTCAATCCGACTCTTATTTTTTTGTGTACGTATGTTACACGATTACTCCGGCATTTGTGAACCGATTTTGATGATTCTTTTTTTGCTGAAAACCTTAGTGTAAGACCCATTAAAGAAAATTCAATATTTTATTTATATTCTACCTCTAGGGGTGATAAACTAGAATCCGGTTTCGCGCACTTTCCAGTAATAGATTTTAAAAAAACTTGGTAAATAGATGTAATTCCACGAACTTTTGAGGTCGGTTTTTTTAAAGTTATGTTATTTAGAACTTATTCGTCGTTATTCTAACTAAAAATATCTGAATGAATAACGAATATAAATGATAAAAACGTAGATATTGAATATATGTCATCGGTTATTTGCACTGCGTATAAATCGTTTAAAGAAATACCCGTTATAGATTAACAAATATGTTGTAATAAATGACTAACCTACTGAAGTATTTTTTTATCACAAGTGATTTGCATTGAGATATCGTTTGGACGTTATTTAACATTCACTTAATAATCAATGAACGAATGAATGATTGAACGAAGACAATTGCGACAATAGGTTCAACTGTGGTCAATTTATAGGCCATAGTAAACGATATTTAAGGTCTATTTATTGTTACTCTCATTCCCAGACTTCTTCAAGTAAGGCCGTCACATGCTCACTACAATAATGTTAAATAATTTTGTACTTTGCCTTTTCTTTGCTGTATCTGGTGGCTTGGTTCTGAACAGTAATGATGTAAATAACATATTTTATGGATTAAATAATATTAATACCGATGAAAAAAAACCGGAAATTCATTATTTACAAAAATCTACTGATAATCTTGGAGTAAAGCAAAATTACGATGTAATGAATTTTGAAAATTTAAAATATACAGTTAATAAAAATGGATTTAACGATTATGTGATCGTAAAAGCAAAAAGGAAACTAATCGACATGAGTCCATATATGATGATGAGACAACTCGATGATATTAAGTATATAGTAGTCTGGCTAAACCTGTATTGTGAAATACATCCAGATTGTAACAAGAAGATTTTAAACGAAGAGTTACATAAGGTAAGGTATGAATATTATTTTGATTTATGATCAAGTTCTGTTATTGCAACTTCCGTTGTAGTTGAGATGTTATACGTAGTCTATTCAACATTAAGCGCAGATTGCAACTACTGGCACTCAATTTGATTTACACGGTTGCAATTTGGTTTGTCTTATAAGATTCCTATTGGTTTTTAAGTCTCAAATTTTACAAGATTTTTTTTATAATATCAAGTGACGGGACGAACAAGTTGTCCACGTGGTGGTAAGCAACACGCCTGTCCATAGCAGTTGCAGTGCCAGTCAGAGCTTTAAATCGCACAGATCTGAACGGCACTGCCACTGCGCCCGTCACATTGAGACATAAGTTGACTAGTCCCATATGCCTGTAACTTCACCAGAACCCTTACTTTTCAAAACCGGAACGTAGTAATGCTCACATTACTGCTTGGCAGCAGAAATAGATAAGATGGCAAAACTTCCCTGGATGAACTCTTCCGCAAGGACTTCTACTGCTACTGCTACTAAAACTAAATAGTGCCCGCGATTTCGTCTGCGTAGAACAAGTACTTCGAGTAGCCTATTGTACTATACTAATTTTCATAGTGTTATTGGTTCTCACAAACTGTCATCCCCTATTTCACTCCTTTTAACATTTGTTTTTGTGACAAAAAGTAGCCTATGTTCTTCTCTTAGGTCCCATCTATCTCTATACCAAAGTTCATTAAAATTGGTTCAGCGGTTTAGGCGTGAAAACGTAACAGACAGACTTACTTTCGTATTTATAATATTGGTTTGGATGGTCAATTATTTTTCAAGACATTGAAACTTTAATACTGTTAATATTAATACTTAAAGTTGATGATGTAATATAAAAATTGATATTCATATTGAATCTTGGTGCTCTTTTTGACACGTGCTTGTTGATAGCTGACGTGTGATCGTCAATTGGACGACTCTACTCTAATAGTAGAAATATACGTTGAATTCAAAGTTCGCAAGCAATGTTGCAATATTTTGCTAAAAAAGTGATCCGTCTACGCTTTAACTTTTTGGTTTCATCAGGTTTCATGAGCTACGCAATTAATATAGGAACAATATTAATAATGCTATATCGTATAACACATAATGCTTTCTCGCAGTCCAATAATTTTAAGAATGTTGAACGGGCTGTTATTTAATTTATTTGTAATAAAAATATGCAAGGGATGGAGAGATTGTCTGCATACCCTTGAAGTTAAGTTTGCAGAAATATTTTTTTTAATTGACCTGGAGACCGATTTTCGTAAGCTGCGAAATTATTTATGTTGATTTCGAATCAGTTCAAATTATAGAAAATGTTATTAAAATTTTAGGTTTAAAAAAAATCGTATTTTTGATATGGTCAAGCAAAATAAATAATTAAATATTTTTTACAAAACCTGTATTAATAGTGATTTCATAATGGGGATTTGCGGCGTACACCCTTATTACAAGTTTATTTAGTTGCTAGAATGCAGTCAGTAATCGGTGGTAATGTAACATTATAAATCTATTGATATCTTAGCATGCACAATTATGTAGATTTAAGGCCAAGTTCAGAAAAACGAACAAGTGAGTCTATGTTTCCCCGATATAAGAAAAATCTGAGGTAAATTAGTAAATACATAAAAGTAAATTTCAAACTTATTTCCTACATGGTTTTTGGTGCTGCAAAACACTTTTAGATCCTTCTGAAAGTTAAAGTGTTTTGCAGTGTGTTTACAGACTTTGTAAATTTTACATGCTTATATAATATATTAATAGACAGATATCTGTACACAGATACAGCACATTACCACCATTATTGTTGTATATATGTATAATATTTATCTTGACTTTCAAGGAACTTTAATTAAAATTGGTACTCACTTATTTTTTGTCATTGACAAATGAACTTGGTCCCCTTTTTCACATATATGTTTTTGGTCGAGTAATATCGACTCGACTCATTTATCATTAACAATTATCGTAAATCTTTGGAATTCTATTATTTTATTAGATATTTTATTAGTATCAAGATAACACATATACATATATAAATAAATATAGTGATACAAGCACAATCAGTACCGCGAGGCGTCTGGTGTGAAGTTCCTGCTTGATAAAATGAACTAACGACCGGTTGAATAGTTATCGCGCTGTGCTGACGAAAAATGATGCCTTTGTTTACACGAGTCGTGATTCTTGTTGTTGTGATCAATTTAATGCACCGTGCTGCCTCGGCTCCATTTTCCACTACAGATTTAATTAACTTATTCGGAAATCCTGTTAAAGACATTAAAGAATTCTTTTTTAAACCCAAAGTGAATGAAACCCATTCTGGCCTACATAGACCAAAAATGATAGAAGTACCAAAAAAAGTTGCGCGCAAGTGTAAAACGGGCTTAGTACGTGACATGTATGGTGTTTGCAGAGATCCTTGGTGATCAGTAATCACCGTACTATACTAATCTGAGGCGCAGACCAGGAGCGCAGTGCGCTCAATACGTTTCGATACAATGGACGCGAAAACTGTGTTACTTTTGTTTGTGTTATTCGCGGCAGTGTTTTCAAAATCAAATACCGTGTTTAACTTTGTACGTAAGTTAGAGGAGGTGTCGAATACTAAAACAGAGACATCTACTATAAAAACAAGTCAGATAATAAGAGTGCCTGAATTGCCTTGTCGCGATGGATTTAGACGCGATGCAAATGCGAAATGTAGAGAAATATTTTAAAGGTATAATAATGTTTCAATGTAATTAATTCTATTATATCTATAACAGTCTCTTTTGCAGCTACTGTAATGTTAGTACCTTATAATTAATGTAACAAAAATATGACGTATTTTTTCTTTTTCAGATTGTCTATATTGTACGAAAAAACTAAATAAGAAGTAATCGACTAAAATGAAATTTTAAAATGAATGCGCAACACACTCATTGAACAATACCTAATTGGTTATTATCGACTACATGAGACCAGGGATTTATCAACAAAGTTATAGCGTATATGTAGGTACCTACCACAAAATTTTACATTGATAATACAAAGGTCATAGAGTTATCATTATACGATGGTTCTTGACAGAAGTTCAGTTGAAAGAAAACAATACCAGAAAGGAACACGTTGTTCGTTGAATTTAATTCAAAATGAAGTTATCTTTTTTTATTCTTTGTTGTATTTTTGTAACTATTCAATATGAGTCTGTTAGAGGAGGTCTCGTTAAGGATTTTTTTGGACAAGTCCATGACACAGCACAACACGTGAGAAATGACGTAAGGAATGTTTTGCATATAAATAAAAAAGATGAAACTAAAAATCCTGATGAGATCAATAAAGTAGGTGACGAAACTCCAGCAAAAGAAACAGGTAATAAAAATGAAGTAAAACCTGAAGAAGGCCAAAAAGAAAAAGAGGACACTTCAGTAAAAGAATCTGAAAAAAACGATGACAGTAAGAATGTAGAACCGGTACAAAATGGAAAACAGCATGACAATAAAACCGAAGCCAAACCGGAGGAAAGTAACCATAATGAGAATAGTGAATCAACAGTCACCAGTACCACCGTTTCAACTATTAATGGTACCCATGATGGAAGAGAAAACTTTACCGGAGCATGTGCTCCAGGTTACGTACGCACCGCAGATGGAAGATGTAAGAAAAGCTTCTGATCAACTGATGTTAATGTTAAAAAAATAATAAAATTGTAATTAATTGAGTACTTAAACTATTCAAAGCTGCATAAATACCGTAAGTGCTATAAAATATTGCTTAAAAATATCCCTTAGCATGGACAACCATTGTTTATTTTCAGTCATACGTAAAATAAAAGATTCAATTGAAATCAGTGCATTGTTGTCTATTATTTAGTAAAGGAGAATGGGCAAAATACAAAGACTTTTGGCTTGGAAGCGGCCATTTCATAAACATAGTTTTTATATTCTTTGCATTAAGACAGACAATATTTAGTATGGGGTCTGTCATATTTTTTAAATAAAAAAATAATGACTAATATAAAATAATAAATTAACATATGTCATACTATTGATAAAAATACCTTTACCAACTGGATCACTTAAAATTTTTGGTATAAAATAAAGCAAAGCCTTGTGAAATCATGGCGCATTGGTCTAAACTTCTCCTACCGCTCTTATGCGCTTGTGCATCCACGTGCAAGCGTTTTTAGTTAACTTAGTTGTTTGTTGACTTGCCTCGCTGTCAACTGTTCTGTACTCCCATACTTATTTGGCTATGTGAGCGCTTACGAGATGGTGTGTAATTGATTGAAGTTATGCAAATGAATCATTTATAGATCTTCTGGGGATTGCTATCTTTATTGCAATCAAGACGCACCAGAGCACGAGTATACTTTGTATACTTAATAGTAAATAGGGAAGGCATTGGAACAGAGTCTTACTGGCAGACGAATTTTGGGTTGCTGTGTTCGCGTCCACGTCACGACCACCAAGGAACTCTTAATTTTGCTGGTCCCCAAAATTATTTTATTTTATTTAATCCGTTATTGTTTTCAAGTATAATATATACAAGTGGAAAAACTTATCTCAAGAATAATTGAACCGATTTTTTTTGTTAAAAAAATAAGTGCGCATTTGAAATCCATCTCACATGGTGAAAAGTGACGAAGAGCACATACACACTTAACTAATATCTATTCACTCTCGCCTTGAAAATGTATATATATATATATATATATATATATATATATATATATATATATATGATATGTATATATAGGTATAAATGTTTAGTTCACTGTAGATTTCATTTAGTACCATGTATATTTCAAACGTACAAGATAACCGGGTCACGAAGTGATTAATACATTGGGTCAATCATAACGAAAAAGTAGGTACAAATTAAATGAGTTAGTGCCTTTGTAATGTTTTTAGACCCGCTGCCAACTGCGGTAAAGCGTAAAATGTCAAACAATTATAAGGCAGGTAACTATTCACGCCCGTAAGTATGATGTAATGAAAATGACAAAATAGTAGTTTATGTGACTGTTACGTAATGAAAGGCATCCAAATACGGGGCTGGGTAAAAACATCACACGAGTGTTTTAATGCCTAATTATGTACAGTTGCATACACTGCTTTATCCATACACATATTATAAGTTCTATATGATGTGTTCAGGAACCGCATGTTACGACTAGCGAAATGGCGGCAAATAAAAACTTTTCTCACACAACCGTAGTTTTTATTTAATTCATAGACAAACTAGAGTCGACCCCAACTATCACATCGTTCGATATCAAGTAACGTGTGAAATTTGTCAAAATTGTTTGCCATTGACACATAATTTCCAATAAAACATCTCGACTGATATTAGAATTGAGGTCGAATGAAATTGTTTTGTTTTTCAGAGATGTTCGAAATTTGAATGTCATAATAAAATCGAATTCGATGTTATTATGAAGTAATATAATATTTTCACAGATAAGAAATTTGTTCTAACAAAACAGTTTATCTTTGTGCTGGTCGTAATTTGTGGTTTTTTAACACATCCAATGTTTATGATATGTCTGTAGATAAAGTAGTAAACTATATAATTTAAGATATAATTTATTCAATTATTGATTGTTTGACTTGTTTGACAATTTTTTAAATATTTTCTTAATTTTATCCTATATCTTATATCTTATATTATGTGAGATTACTCTCGTGTACAGGAACATCACATTAAAAAAGGAATTGATTATCTAACTTTCTGGAATTACAGCTTGTGCTTGAAACGGCAGTGCAGTATTAGGGCGTCTGGTTGTTGTTTTTCGAAGGCTTTTACGACTGTTGGTCAGAACAAATCCTGATCTTGATTGACTCTGTGTTATAACGTCAATATTTGTTTGTTGCCTATTGTCCACAGGCATGTTTTGTGGTAGTCTATTGTTATTTGGAGAACTTTTATTGTTTATTGTAAGGTCCTGAGGTTCTAGGTCATAGAGTGGCACTAGGCGATTAGGAGCGTCTTGATTAGTTTCTTGGTCAGAACCCCTGCGGTCAGGTGCACCCCTGTCTTCTGGAGGACCCCTGCGGTTAGGTGGACCCTTGCGGTCAGGTGGACCCTTGCGGTCAGGCGGACCCCTGCGGTCTGGTGGACCCCTGCGGTCCGGTGTACCCCTGCGGTCCGGTGGATCCCTGCGGTCCGGTGGACCCCAGCGCTCAGGTGGACGCCTGCGGTCAGATGGATCCCTGTGGTCAGGTGGGCCCCTATGGTTAGGTTGGCCCCTGTGGTCAGGCGGACTCTTGTTCTTAGGTGGACCGCGGTGTTTAGATGGACCTTCATTTGACTCCTCGTGTGGCGAAGGTATCATATCTGCGTAACGGCCGTCATGGTGTGAAAATGGGTGCCATTGTTGTGGACTCCTTATTGCTATAAATAGAAAAAAGTTTTTGTATTTAATGTCAAGCTGTTAAATTATTAGTTTTATATATAGTATTAGTGCTAGATAAATTAACATAGCCAGTGTACGTATAAGGCAGTGAGTTAATGACTCACCTTCACTAAATTTAAAGACTTTTAGCTATGTCGAAGAAAAACAAGATTGGTTATTGTTAAGGCGAGGTATCTCAACGCGAGTCTACATTTTAAGGGGTGAGGTGTCCGCCCCTCGCGTCCCGCAACCTGCGCGCTGAAAATTAATTTGAATCCGATATCGACAAGCGCCCAATAGCGACTGACGGGGCAGCGGGCGGCGCGCGCGCTTTAAGCCACTGGCAATTTTCAAATTTTGGGATAATAATGTGAATTTAATAACTTTAGGGCTTCAGTTCAAAACCAAATTTTTTTCTGTAGTACCTATTTAAATCTCCATATAAAAAAATATGTGCAAAGTTAGATATTTTATTCTTAAATAATTAGTTTTAGACTGTTTTCAGTATTTTATATAATATGATTGGGTAAATGGGTATTATGTATCCTATCGTGTGACAAATGAGCACATGCTTTTGACAATATCCTTAGGTATTTAACATATTTTTTGTAAGACCGTTATTTAATAGTAAATACCTAAACCGTTCGATCAAGAAAAACAGTTTTTCCTGCTTCTTCTTCTTGCCTTAGGACGTTGCAGAATTTTGCGATTCTCTTTGAACGAGTACGAGTAGTTTTAAATATTGAACATTAAGTAGTTAAAATGATTTAGTTAATATGGGGAAATATAAAGGTATATGGCATACTTCAATTAAAACTATTTTTATTAAGTAATTTTTTATTAGAAAGTTTTCATAAGGTATCGACAAAGAAAAATTTTTGTTACAGGTATCACAGGTATATATTTTATTCGTATAAGTTAAGATATTAACTTTCTGGTCTGACCGGCATGGCTTGAAATAAATGTGATAAAGTTTGCGTTGTGCGTTGAGGTCGGTATTCTGATATTATTTCATCATTTAGTAGAGGCACTCCGTGTCCTGGACGATTTTTGTGTCCATCGTCATTTAATGGTGCCGTCTTGCCTGAATCGTCATGGTTGTCGTAATTTGAATTTTCACCAGATTGTTCAAGTAATCGATTATGTATTTGATTACTATCATAAGGTGGTTTTGTTGGTTGATGATTGTCATCAGGTTGTGGTCTTTGGTCAGGTGAAGGACCTTCATTATAAGATGGTGAACTGGGGTTCCGTTGAGGTGGCAATGCACCCCAGCCGTGGTGAGGTGGAGGTGGGACCCACCCATGGTGGGGTGGGGGTGGACCCCAGTCACGATGAGGTGGTGATGGACCCCAGTCATGATGCGATGAGGGTGGACCCCACCGGCCGTAAGGTGGTGGACCCCAGCGTCCGTAAGGTGGTGGACCCCAGCG